GCAAGGAATTTTTTTTGTTAGAACGCAAAAGATGGTTTCATAAGCAAAATTATGAGTTACAAGCGATTTTTTCAAAATATCGCTATTTTTTTCAATTTCACGTTACACCTGATCTTACGATCTGATTGGTCGATCAGGTGGGTGCGTTACAATGCATATACGCTAAATTATATAAACCTATATTATATTATAACAAAAATAATTATTATAATACAGTCAGATTTTCTAAATTTTATTATAAATAAGATTTGAACTCTAAATCTATTACTTGAAGAATAACAATTTAACCACTACTTTAAGTCATTATACATTTTTATTTTTTCTATTATCATTCTTATTCTAATATTAAAAATAATATATTTAAAAAATTTTGTTAACAACTCTTCCTAATGATTATTTATATCAAAATTTCGATTAACGAAAATAAAAATTTGTTGGAGTAAAGTAGAAGAGACAACTATACAAATAATAGTTTTTACAGAGGTCTAAGTAATCTTCTTCTGCTTTTTAATGTCAAACTTCTTAGTATATTTAGCAAGCAAGTTAAAAATAATTTTGTACAAGATAACTGGTAGAAGATGGTACCCTTGTATAAAAAATTTTAATAGAAATATAGTTTTTGTTAACTAAGTGAAAATAGTTAGTCTAAAAAGAAAACAATAAATAAGCTTTCAATATACTCTTTATTGAAGTTTAAGAATACTTGCAAATTAAACTTCTTTTAATATCTTTTTTTTTGTACTTTACAAAATTTTTACTAAAAAAATAAAAAATACAGCATATCTCTGACAAAGGATCAATATAATGATCACTATCAAAAAAGAAAAAACACATATATGTATATGTATGTACTTTGGAATCTATAATATATGATTACTTTTTAACTCTATATAGCAAAGAATTTCATATGAATATATCACAAAAGTTTTGCCAAAATTATATGAAAAATTTTAAACTTGGATTTCTACTCAAGAATAGATAGTTTTATATTTATATTCTAGATATAAATATAAATAGCTAGTAGAGTTTAAACTAATTTATTTAGTAATATTATATAATTTTTATAGTCTGGTACAGGCTTAATAGAATAGTACTATCTTTGTTTTATTTTTTTTTTTTGTTTTTTTTATTTGTTTTATTTGGTTTTATTTGTTGTTTTGGATGCTAAGTGTTAAGGTATAACTCTTTTTAATTTTCTTGCTTTTTGTATATATATTAGTATTTCTTTTTTTTAAAAAAAAAATTAATGTAGATAGAAGCATATGTGCTATCAATAAATGGAAACAGAGAAGTCTATAAAATGTAGATAGCTAAAAAGAGGTCAAGAAATATCAAGCAATTGTTGCTTTAAACTTTGCAACTTAGTAAGCTATTTTGTTTAAGTATAGACTAATAACTAGAAATACTTTATACTTTTAGTATTATTATTATTAATAAAATATAAAAAGAATATGTTTATTTTTTACAAAAAAAAAAAAAATTTGTTAAACAAATTTGCTATGGTGCTGGTAGCCTATACTTAACAATTATACAAAGTGTTTTAATTTTTTAAATGGCTATAACTTTTTAGAGTACTGATATTTATTAGGTAATATTTTAGAGAGTGGGGGATAAAGCCAAACCTTATCTCAATATAATACTAAATTTAATTGGTTAATAAAAATATTAACTAGAGGGAAGGGGTAGAGCTCTATAGTAAATGAATATTAGGTAATAAATATCAGAACCCTTATCTAGGAGGTTTTAAAAAAAATCTGACTATAGTACAAGATACTTAAAGACTATATTTGTCCTATTTTCAAAATTTTCATATTGAAATTTGATGTTTTTTTAATTTTTTGTATTCTGATTGGTCAAAAATTAATTAATAAAAAATATTTTAACAATAATTTTAAAAATAATTTTAAAATTAGCCAATAGCAAGTAGCCAAAACATGTAACTTGTCCTATTTTGGTTAAATTTTTATGTATTATATAAAAATACTATATTTTTAAGGCTATATATTTTGAAAAATTATTATAACTTTTTAAAAAATAAGGCCACTAAGTTGTTATAAATTGATTTAGCTACAAAATAGTGATTTCCTTTTTAAAATATCTTTTTTAGATCATAAGTTATTAGCTTTTAAAGTTTATGTAGTCTTTAAGTATTACACACCATAGTAACTTTATAAAGCTATATCAGCTTTACATTTCTGCCAAATTTCATTTTATATATAAATTTATAAATTTATATATAAAATTTCAATTTTCAAAATGCATTAACTCTTTACAAAGATGAGATTTTGAAATGAAATTTGACAGAAATGTAAAGCTAATATAGCTCTATAAAGTTACCAGTCAGATTTTTTTAAACCTCTTAGATAAAAAGTTATAACCATTTAAAAAATTAAAACACTTTGTGTAACTGTTGAGTATAGGCTACCAGCACCATATTAGATTAGAATTAAATTTTGCTATTAATTTATAAATAAAATATAGTCACATCTCCCTAAATGTATCCCGTCGGGACCATAGTGAAAAAAATTAAAATTTTGCACTTAGAGGAGGTTTGCACTTATAGAAAATAAAATACATAAGGATTTTATAAGTTGGGGCCAAACCATATCATGCATTTAGAGAGGTTTTACATAGTACTTGCACTTAGGGGGTGTGCACTTAGGGGGGTGCGACTGTATTAAGTTATTGATAATTTTTTGATATGGTTTGTTTTTTCTAAATTATACCTGATTTTAAAACTAGGACATTGACGATTTGTGGCCCGCATTTTGATATATCAGGCCCACAAGTTTGTTAAATCAGCCCGGCCCGTGAAGGCCCTGCTTAAGTATGAGTCTAGTATCACCAGTATAAAAAATTTCGCACATCATGTGATCTTATTTTTGAATTTTGAGTTATAAGCGATTTTTGACAAAACGGTTTGAATTTTCCTGATCGTGCAATGTTACACCTGATCTTGAAATTTGATTGGCCAGCGAAATTTTTAGCTGCTTAAGCTCTATAGATATGCATAAGTGCATCAAAAACATAACCTTTTCATCATTTGGTCACCATTATAACGTTAAGTGTGACAAATCGTGTGACCGTACGTACTATTTGTACTTTGGTACATATCAGATATATGTACGTACGTACGTACGTACATGAAATTCGTTTTAAACATTTCATTGTTGATATACGAATAATGGGCAGATTGACAAGGAGTAAAGTTGTAGCAGACAACCTTTCATTCGAAACCATTACGAAAAAAGGGCAAAATGCAGAAGGAAACGATGTAATTGTAATGATAAAATAAATTGTTTTCTTTACAATCAAAATTTATAAAGTAAAATTGTTTTTGAAATTCAGCGAACTGGGACTGAATTCTATTTAGAAATTTGGAATGTGATAAAGAACCATAGAGATAGCAGGTTATAATTTCGTGTTGTTATGATAGATGTAATTAAACAAAAGTTTTTCTTTGCTAATTTGTTTTATAATATATTTTGTACAGAAATCGGCCCATGGCAAAACTTTTTAATACACTACCGGATAGGAGGCACTATCCAGATTATTATGAGGAGGTTTAGTAGTTGAGATGAAAAGTACTGAGTTTATGAGAAAATGTATGATGCGATATTTTGGTTCAAATTCAATTAATTGAAATGATTTATTCTGGCAACTAAAATTAGATAAAAAAACCAATTTCGCTAGATATCATCAAGGTTTATTTTATTTTATTTTTATTTTTATTTTTTTTTAGACTTATTTAGCTGAAAGATATGGTATTGGAATATTTATTACACGTTTCTAATCTGGTTGGATTCTATTTGTAAAATTTCGCAACTTCGCAATCTTATTTAGAAAAAGATAGACCGTAAGGAATATCCGGATAATGAATCATTTGAATCAGATCTTGATTTAATGTTTGAGAATGCCAAAAAATATAATGTGGAAGGTTCACAAATATATAATGATGCCAAATCATTACAGGTATGGATGTCTATATTTTTTACTTATTTTTCATGTAATTTATGTATTAGATTTTTATAAATTGTAAACATTCAGAGATTAGCGCATAATCTCTTAGGAGACAAATACGTTAAAACTAAAGAAGGTAGTGAAATGTATAAAACATTCGACAAGATTGAGCATAATGGCGAAACGTATAATATAGGTAAATACGGAACCTTATTTATTATATATATATGTTTAATATATATTTTTGGTATTATATTCATTAAATTGTATGAATTGATAGGCGATTATGTGCATATTGCCAATGAACGTGACCCAGATAAGCCAAATGTTGGACATATTTTCAGAATCTGGAAAAACCACAAGTATATAGAACGGTGTTTTTACTTTAGATATTGGTTTATAGTTTGTCTAATGTTCATATTTACTTAGAGGCGAAAACGGAGTCAATGTTTGTTGGTATTATCATCCTGAA